GGTTTCTGATGAGAATTCTGCTGTGACTCTAATTGGAGATCCTCTGAGAGTAATCTGACATTTCTCTCTTGCATATTTTAGAATCTTTTCTTTGTTTCACTGTGGTGAGTTTGATTACAACGTGTTGTGGTGAGGATCTCTTTTGGTCATGTTTACTAGGGGTTTTATGAGCTTGCTGTACTAGGATGTCTCTGTCCTTCTCCAATCCTGGGAAGTTCTCTGCAAGTATCTCACTGAAAACGCCTTCTAATCCTTTCTCCCTCTCCATGCCTTCAGGAACTCCTAGAACCCGAATGTTGGGTTTTTTAATAGTATCCTGTAGATGCCCAACAATATTTTTTAGATTTCTAATTTCCTCTTCCTTTCTTTGGTTTGACTGTATCCTTTCCTGTTCTCTGTCTTCTAAGTCCGATATTCTCTTCTGCTTCACTTATTCCATTTTTAAGGCTCTCTAATGTGTTTTTCATGTGATCTATTGAGTTCTTCATTTCATTTTGATTGCTCTTCACTATCACACTTTCCTGTTCTACTAGTTTCTGCGTTTCATTTTGATTCCTCCTTAAGATTTCATTTTCATGAGAGAGATTTTCTATCCTGTCCAGTTAGGATTTCCATATCGCAGGCATTTGTTTTTGAAAACTTCTAAATGTTCTTATCATAAATTTTTTGAAATCCATATCTTGCATTTCTTCCATCTCATCATCTTCATAATCTTGTCTTGTTCATTTGGGGGTGTCATGATGTCTTCCTTGTTCTTGTTTCTTCGGTTTCTGCGTTTGTTGCTTGGCATTGTGGTGATATTCTTTGGATCCTTCTTCCCAACCTGTGGTGTTTTTTTTCTTGTTATACTATGGCTGTATTAAGTGGACTGTCTGCTTTTGATGGAGCCTTAGAGGCTTGAGATGGGTGTGGCCTGAGAGCTGTGTTTGGTTCCTCAGGGTTAAGGGTGTGCCAAAGGTGACACTCCCAGGTTAGCCATGGTAAATCTTTCTTTTTTTTTGGTTCAGAAGGGAAGTAATTCCTCACAGCTGAGCAGAATTGAAGGTAGTTAGGAGGCGAATGATATACCCACAGGAGCCAGAGATTGGAAGCTCTTTCCCAAGGACCACACAGGGAATCTTTTCTGCCCTCACGGTCGGCTCAGATTCTCCTGCAGTCTCCCACTGGATTGCCAAGGTTACCGAATTGTAACATCTCTGGAGAGTACTCACGTGAGTGAGTTCCGTGAGTTCTCTCACCCACCGTCTCTTTTCCCAGTCTTAGTTCAGTAGCACCACACATTCACTAGATCCTAATCTCCTGTTATTTCACACACACCCCCCCCCCCAGAGTCAGGTTTTTCTTCTTGGGTGAGGGCGGGTGCAGCCCTGAGGTCGTGCGGCTTGTGATGTATGTCCAAAATGGCCCCTGCTCTTTGTCTTGCTTGCCTTTGAGAGGTGAGCGGAGAGAGAGACTCATGTCCATGCCGGTCACTTTTTTTTTTTTTTCCTCTCTTCTAGTTAGCCTGGTGAACTTTTCCCCATGGGATTTCAAGCCTCGTTCCCTCTAGTCTCCTCTTTCTTTTTCCCGCTGGTGTCTCGGGCTATTGAGGTTCGACTCACCTCGCGTTCCAGCAGTGGTGCGTTGATTCTGCCGCTGGTATCCCAAGCCGTGGGCTCCCACACCCTCCACACAGGTCCACTGTGAATCACTAGTTCCAGAAGAGTTTCCTCTGCTGTTTCTTCCCCTACTCTTCCTTGAACCTGCAATATCTCCACTTTTATTAAACTGTCTCTTCCCGGACTATCAGTGTGCTCCCTTCCTATTCCACCATCTTGCCGCTCCGCCTCGATATCTCTAATTTCAGAATTCTTTATGCACAGCTATTCTAGTGCAAGAGATTTTAGATTTGTCATTTTTAAGAAATAAAGAAAAGGAAAAAAGTTATGTATAAAATCTTACATAACAAATTAAGATTGCTGATTGTTAGGGAAATGTATGTAGACTAATTATTCCAAGGAGGCTGTTTCTTTTTTCTTATATAAAGATTTGTTTACTTATTTATTTGAAAGAGTTATGCAGAGGGAGGAGAGGCAGAGAGACAGAGGTCGTCCATCCAATGGTTCACTCCCCAATTTGGTGCAGTGGACAGAGCTGTGCTGATCTGAAGCCAGGAGCCAGGAGCTTCTTCTGGGTCTCCCACCCAGGTGCAGGGCCATAGCAGGGAGCTGGATGGGAAGTAGAGCAGCTGGGTCTTCAACCGGTGCCCATATGGGATGCTGGCACTTCAGGCCAGGGCGTTTACCAGCTGCACCACAGTGCCGGCCCCAGAAGGCTGTGTCTTGATATTTGTGGACTTCTAGAAATTATATATTAAAAAGGAGCAGAGTATGTGCTGTTAAGGACTCATTTGGATAAAATTACTGAGGAAATACTGAACAATTTAAGAGACTGATAATAACTCTGGGAAACTAAAGGTGATTGTCAGTAAAAGTGCAGTAATTTAGGGTAATCTGTTAGGCCCTTCTAAACTGAATAATTATATTTATTCAATTTCTTTTAGGTGTAAACATGATATAACAAGTAATAGAAGGTGATCATTCTGTGTGATATTTTTAGAAATATTTTGTGGTGCATAATCTTGTTTATAGTTGTTATAGTTTTGATTTTAATGTTTATTAGCATTTAAAATTTTTGTGGTACCTGATATATTAGAGCAAACTAATGTGAATTATAGGCCAGCACCGCGGCTCACCAGGCTAATCCTGTACTTGTGGCGCCAGTACCCTGGGTTCTAGTCCTGGTTGGGGCACTGGATTCTGTCCCGGTTGCTCCTCTTCCAGTCCAGCTCTCTGCTGTTGTAGGCAGTGGAGGATGGCCCAAGTGCTTGGGCCCTGCACCCAGATGGGAGACCAGGAGGAAGAACCTGGCTCCTGGCTTTGGATCAGCGTGGTGGCCATTTGGGGGGCGAACCAATGGAAGGAAGACCTTTCTGTCTCTCTGTCTTTCTCACTGTCTAACTCTACCTGTCAAAAAAAAAATAATAAAGTGAATTACAAATATTTTAATACTTTATCATTACATTTTTAAAATATATTTTTAAAATTTTTTATAAGTCAGAATTAGAGATCTTCCATTTGCTGGTTCAGTACCAAAATGGCTGTAGTGGCCAGGGCTGGTCTAGGTCAAAGCCATGAACGAGGAACAACTTCCAGGTCTCCCACGTGAGTGCAGGGGCCCAAGCAATTGGGCGGGCCATCAGCTCTGCTTTCCCAGGTGCTTTAGCAGGGAGCTGGATCAGAAGTGCAGCAGCAGGGACTTGAACTAGCACCCATATGAGATGCCAGCGCATAGGCATGAACTTAACCCACTGGGCCACAGCACAAGCCCCTGTCATTACATTCTGAAGTAACTAGTTTTAGCATATACTTTTCGTCAATTTTCTTTTGTGCATAAACTGTTATATCTAAGTACTTTTCTTTGTGTTACGTTTATAGAAAATGAAAATCCACATTCAGAGGTCAGTACAATTAATGTATTTTTTTGGAAAATGAGCAAAGTACCATGTGAAAGTTTCCTGTGAAGGGGTAAATTATTTTTATATTGCATTCTTATTTTAGAAATAGATTTAGGGGGCTGGTGCTGTGGCACAGTAGTGCCGGTTTATGTCCTGGCTGCTCCTCTTCTGGTCCAGCTCTCTGCTTATGGCCTGGGAGAGCAGTGGAGGATTTCTTAAGTGCTTGAGCTCTTGCATCCATGTGGGAGACCTGGAGGAAGCTCCTGGCTCCTGGCTTCAGATCAACCCAGCTCAGGCTGTAGCAGCCAACTGAGGAGTGAACCAGTGGATGAAGACCTTTCAGTCTTTCCTCTCTTTATGTAACTCTACCTCTCAAATGAATAAATTAAATCTTAAAAAAAGAGAAATAGATATAGGAGTTTGATAACACTGTATTCCCCTTATAGATTTTTCCTGTTTTTTTTTTTTTTTTGAGATCTTCATGTATTTTCAAGTATATCAAATGATAGTTATAGACATCTTTAAAGCTGTAATAATCCTGAAAGGTTAGCATGAAACTGAATGGTATAAAGAGGAACAGTTTCTCAAGATATACTATATTATGCCTGTAGTATTTTCATTTAGTTGTTTTAAAAACACCCCTGTTAAATCCTCAACAAAATAATAGCAAAGCTAATATAGCCTATGAAAAAGATTAGGCACCATGACTGAGAAGGATTTATTCCAGGAGGACAAAACTGATTCAACATAAAGTCATTGCAATACAACACATCAATAGAGAAAAATGGAAAGAAACATATCAGCTGATGCAGAAAAGATGTTTGACAAAATCCAACACCTTATGATGAAAGCAATTAGAAAACTAAGATTAGAATGGAACTTAATAAAGGGCATTTATCAGAAACCCACATCTAACATCATTTTCAATGTTGAAAGACTGAAAGTTTTCTCCTAAAAATCAGGACAAGAATTAGGCAAAGATGCTTTTCTACTCAACAATTGTATAACAGCTTTTTCATTATTATAGTAGAAAATGTAAACAGAGCAATTAGAAAAGAAAAAAAAATGAAAGACATCCACATTGGAAAAAGAAGATATAAAATATCCATAGGAGTCATGATGATATATATACACACACACACACACACACACACACACACAGAAGATCCCAAAGAAGCCAAAGGAACATTACTAGAGGTGATAAATGAATTGTCATGTTGCAGAGTACAAGATCAATACAAAAAACAGTTTTTATATACCTGCAGTAAATAATCTGAAAAGGACATTACAAAAACAATTCTATTTGTAATAGCATCTAAATTTACCTAAAGAGATGAAAAAAACATATATGGAAAACTAACAGGCATTACTGAAATAAATTTTAAGATTGCTAAATAAAAGGGAAAACATTTCCTGTTCTTTGGTAAGAACACTTAATATGTTAAAGCATCAGTCCTTCCCAAAATGTTCTATATATTCAGAACATCCCTTATTGAAATTTCAGAATTTCAAAGCTGTTCATGTGCAGTTTTAGGCTCCAAATAAGCAAAAACAATCTTGAAAAAGAATAACATCTGAAGACTCATGTTTCCCGGCTTCAAAACATACTGCATAGCTGAAGTAATCTTGACTATGTGAAGGAGAGATATGCAGACCATTGGAATGGAACTGAGTCAAGAAAGAAACACGTATGTTGATGGCTAATTAATTTTTGAGAGTCTGCCATATCTATTAATGAGAAAACAGAAAAAAGGGGAAAAAACCTTGAAATATGGGATAAATTTTCATGAGCTTGGATTTGGCAATGGATAAGAGATGACACCAAAAATATAAGCAACAAAAGAACAATAAGTAGAACCTCAGATTTTAAAATTTTGTTCATCAAAGGATATTATTGCAAAAGTGCTAAGACAGTATACAGAATAGAAAAAAAAAATATATATATATATTATAGTTCATGGAGATTGCTATGCAGAGAACTCCTTAAACCCAACAATAATTAATTTAAAAACAGGCAGGGCTGGCACTGTGGCATAGGGTTATGCTGCCACCTGAAGTAAGTGCTGGCATCCCATATCAGCACTGGTTTGAGTGCCAGCTGTTCCACTTCTGATTCAGCTCCCTACTCATGTGCCTGGGAAAACAGCAGAAGATGGCCCAAGTCCCTGGGCCTCTTGCCACCCATGTAGGAGACCCAGAAGAGGCGTATGTCTCTGCTTCCACTTAGCCCAGCCTCTGCCATTGCGGCCATTTGAAGAGTGAACTAGTGGATGGAAGATTCCCTCGTCCCTCACTCTCATATATATAATCTCTCTCTATATATAATCTTTATATGTATGTAATCTTTATATAATCTCTATTTCTGCCTTTCAAATAAGTAACGAAATCTATAAAAACAGGCAGTTGATTTGAATTATTTCTCCAAAGGAGATATAAAAATGACCAATGCCCACACAAAAAGATACTTAAGAACATTAGTTACTAGAGAAATATAAATGAAAATCACAATAAAATGTCACATCACTCATGTTAGGATGACTGTAATAAATGGAATATACTAGTCCTGGTATTTATGTAGATGTGGAGAAATTGGAGCCCTCCTACTTTGTTGATACAGCCACAGGGGGATGTAATTTAACTTTTCCTCCAAAACTAAACATAGAATTACCATGTGATCCAGCAATGCCACTCCTAGGTATATACACAAAAGAGTTTGAAGACATGGACTGAAACAGATATCTGTATACAAGATAAATATTACTCTGTCATACATGTTATTCACATTATCCAGGAGGTGGAAATAACCTAAATGTTCAGTAGATGAATGGAAAAATAGAATGTGGTACATACATGCAGTGGAATAATAATTAGCCATAAAAGGAATATGAACTTCTGATATGTGCTACAGCATAGAAGAATCTTTTACAACATAGAGCAACCTTGAGAATATGCTAAGTGAAATAAGCCAGACACTGAATGACAACTATTGTATGAGCTATTTATATGAATAGATAGAAAACGCAAATTCTTAGATAGACAATAGAGATTGTCAGTATATGAGGGAAGGGGAAAATGTGGAGGTTCTACTCATTGGTTTCAGAGTTTTTGGGGGTCATGGAAAATTTGGGGTGATGGTTGCAGTTTTGTCATCGTAATTAGTTCTATCAGGTATACACTTAAAAATGTTAAAATATTACATTTTATGTTTGCATTTGACTAAATTAAAGAAATACAAACTTGTGCAATAGTTAGCCAATAAGGATATGTAATCAGAATTAAAATGAGGGGCTGGCACCGCGGCTCAATAGGCTAATCCTCTGCCTGCAGCGCCGGCACACCAGGTTCTAGTCCCAGGCGGGGCGCCAGATTCTGTCCCGATTGCTCCTCTTCCAGGCCAGCTCTTTGCTGTGGCCCGGGAGTGCAGTGGAGGATGGCCCAAATGCTTGGGCCCTGCACCCGCATGGGAGACCAGGAAAAGCACCTGGCTCCTGGCTTCGGATCAGCGCAGTGCACCGGCCACAGCGGCCGCTGTGGGGGTGAACCAACAGAAAAGGAAGACCTTTCTCTGTCTTTCTCTCACTGTCCACTCTGCCTGTCAAATAAAATAAAAAGAAAAAGAAAATAAAAAACTATTTCAGAAGAGGTGGCAGTCAAAATTATTTACTCAGTAAGCATTAAATAAGTTTAGGTTAACCAGTTTTCCATTTTATAGGGGTGATTTTTATTTTTAAATAACAATAAATAAGGAATCTTAAGACATTCAGAATTATAGATACTTTGTTGATTTTTTTTCCTTGTAGGACACCATTGCAGTGGCTAGATTTGTTTCACCAGCATCCTCATGTATGAGAAGAGATGGTAAATGTGGCATATTTTTAAAAACACTTGAAGACTACAAATCAGCTGTCTATGTAAGTGTGTAAATTTCAGTCAAATCTTATCGTGGTTTTAATAATAAAGTGATGGGGTAGTGTTAGTATTTTTGTAAGTGCTGAGCAGCTGCTTAATCTAACTAAATTATTTGAGTAGTGAAGTTCAGGCTCCTTTAAAGGTCAGTAAGGCATGTACCAATGCCAGCGCACTTGGTAAAGTGATAAGTATAAGTACACAACCGATCAAAAAAGATAGGGTAAGTGTCGAAGAGATTTTACAAACAAGACCAGTGTAAGCAAATAATGAAGGATAGAATTAAAAGGGAGAGAATGATCCTGCAGGGGAAGCAGGACACACAGCAGACTCATAGAATGGCAAACGCCCAAAACAGCACTCCGGCCTCATACACATACTTGAAATCTACTTTCTATTTAGTGAATGCAATTAGGTAGAATTGGGCCAAGCCATGTACCTTCAGGCCAGCATCTGCCTATTTTTTTTTTCTAGCATGCTCAAAGGCATTGTAAGGGTAGAGGTATCCCTTTTGATATTAAAATTGATAAATTAGACTGAGAGTTGCAGGTTGGGGGTCAAAGTTACATTTCCATTTGTTTTTGTTTCTGAAAAGTTCGGGGTTCAGTGTAGGAAATCTTGATTTAACAACTCTGATTTTCCACTTCTATTGCAATGATAGAAATTTATTCTTTTTTAATATTCTATTTTGAGAAAGGCACTCTTAATTTGTAAGCCTTAACTTTATGCCATTGTATAGAATTTGAGTATTATAGAGTTAAATGTGGAGTTCTATTAGAATTGGAGGTCCAAGGGCCGGTGCTGCGGCTCATTTGGTTAATCCTCTGCCTGTGGCACTGGCATCCCATATGGGTGCCGGGTTCTAGTCCGGGTTGCTCCTCTTCCAGTCCAGCTCTCTGCTGTGGCCTGGAGGGCAGTGGAGGATAGCCCAAGTGCTTGGGCCCCTGCACTCGTGTGGGAGACCAGGAGGAAGCACCTGGCTCTTGGCTTCGGATCGGCATTATTCCGGCCGTAGCGGCCATTTGGGGAGTGAACCAATGGAAGGAAGACCTTTCTCTCTCTGTCTCTCTCTCTCACTGTTTAACTCTATCAAATAAATAAATAAATAAATAAATGAAAAAGGAATTGGAGGTCCATAATTATACTAGAGGTAATTTGTGTACAAATCAATCTTTTCTTTTTTTATTTTCAGGTTTATACTAAACCTCTTAGAGATTTTTCTACAGAATCAATGTCTTTGGTAAGATGATATTTAATTTAATTTAGTTTATGTAGAGTTACACCTCCCACACAGAGACCTAGGTTTGCATGCAAGCATACACATGCAAATATGTTTATAGTCTGATATACTTTATAGCCTGATTTTGAGGTAGTTACTTTAATTTTTTGAGATAGTTAATTTATAGGCTGATTTTTAAATTATTATTGATACAGTGGGATCTGCTTTATAGTCTGAAATAGTATCAACAAAATGAGAAATGGTCTTCCCTATCATTTCTTATAATGTTATTTCTGTTTTATATTTATCTTGTAGTTATTATCTGATTGTTATGTTTTCTAAAATAGCTGCTTTTTTGCATAAGCTATGCTTACATGAGAAAATTAAAAATTAGCTGTTGCTATATAAAAATATTAGTTTTAAAACAAATTGATTTCTTGTTTTTCATTATCATATTTAAACAGCTTATGTGCTGAATTTTATTTTAGCAAGTTATATAACTTTAAATTTTTATATTTTTGAGACATTTTGCTTTTTTTCATTTTTTCCAGTTTTATAAGACTTTGTTATAGCAATACGAAGGTCCCTATTTTGCTATTTGTAGCTGAGTTAAACTAAGAAAGATGGTAATTTGGTAATATTTAATAAAATGATTTTGTTCTACCTATTTTTAAACCTTTGATTTATAATGCAGAGATAGCATACAGAGACTTTTTTACTGGTTGATAATAACTAAAAGATACATTAAACTCTGAATAGTATAATTAAAATCTGTTTTTTGGAGAAATTATAACAAATGAATTGCTGTACATTTTAAATTTGGAACAGCCCCAGGTATTAGTATGTCTCTAAATTGTTCTAGACAAAAGTAAATGGAAAAGCTTCTGAACATAGCAAAAATGTGTTTTTTAGTGGAAGACACATTCTAAAATAAGCGGATTTATTTGCTTCTGTTTTCTTGACTATAAAATGCTCATTTTGCATTTTAACATTTTTAAACTGAGCATGGTGTACCTTATAATTGATTTCAAGAAAACTATTAATTTTTCTTGTCAGTATTTGCAATAATTTTCTGAAAGCCTGTTACCGTTTTTGTAATGTACTACTAACTGGCCTATCTTCAGACTAGAGATGTTTATAGGACTTTTATATTATTTTTCAGTTAAGGAAGAGTTGCCCTTTTCAAGTGACTCGGGGCAATCATTAGATCTTATATTTTCTTGAGGATTTAAGAACATTTGGCCCACTTATGCAATCTTAAGGACAACATTTAAACTATTCCCTGTATGCCTATCCAAGCTATTCTTTCAGGTCCCTGATTATATGATGTTATATCCAATCTCTTGTACATTCTATTCCCTCTGTGTTGTTTATTCTTCACTATTTTGATTTGTTACCATGTTCATAAAGCCTTTGATTCTTACATCATTTTTTTGCCTAATTCCACTATACCTCCCTCAACACAAATATTTTTGTTCTTTGAAATGATTTGACTCTATTTTCTTAAGGAATTGTCTTACATTATTGTGAGATCAAGGAAGACAAATTGTCTGGTACTTGTTGGGAATCTTTATGTAAATGTAATTACCATGTTACCAAGCATGAACTCATTCAAGTATAATAACCAATTAGTCAGAGAATAATTGTCAATTTATTAATTTGCAATGAGAAATATAACTTATCTGCTGTACACACACACATATGGACTGATTTACTGGGAACCCCAAATTAATAATTAGAAGTTGTTTGTTGGTTATCATTTAATAACTATGGTTACTTAAATGTTAGAGCTGTGATAGTCTTCTCCATTCATCAGTATAGGAAGATACTTATTAAGATAGACTACTAGGACCAATTATTTTGTCAGCTAAGCTTATATCTTCTCTCCTCAGTTCCATATGCTGACCATTCTTCTTTCATCATTGATGAGTTACAGCTTTCTTTTATATTAAAATTTGATTAGATTTCTAAGTCCTACGCCTCTTGTGTTTGACTTGAGGGATCATCTTCCTTGAAAAAAACTAATTGGTTTTGATTTAATGTAAAATGTTAACTCTTAGAATGATGAGTAAGCTTATTTCCAGTTGGAGTAGGGATGTTTGGATGATGGGGACACCTGATTGAGACCTTTTAAGGATTTTAGTATATCTCTGTTAAGCTGTAGATACAGCTTTATAAACCACTTTTGCTTTTCTTTCTAAACTTAAGCATAGTTGTTTCAGAGAATAATGTTCTGTTCTCTTATTTTTATTGTGTTGGAGCCATTTATGAATCAAAACCTGACTTCATTTAGGCCTAAGTAAAATTTTTCTAACAGTATGGGGGTGGGGGTTATACCGTGAGTTTTAAAATGATACTAAGGTTAAAAACCAGAGTTCAAATCTCTTAAATTTCTCAGAATTTGCTCTGTCTGATAACATCATGATTTCTTGTCTCCAGTTATGATTTCTTTGCCAAATAAGTTTGGAAAATGCTAACTTAAAAATAGCGAGAATAATCACTGAAAATCCCTTTAGAGGCTTTAATACTTCTGGAGTTACCATAGAAAGAAAAGTTCTCCCAAACTTGCATGACATGGAATTCTTTATTGAAAGAACCAATAATCCAGTTGGCCTTTCAGGACTAATAAAAATGCTTCATTATTTCCAGTTAGTAATACTCTTTTCTTAAATACTCTTTTCTTAAATCACTAACATTGAAGATATATCTGTTCTCTGTTATTGCTTCAGTTTTTATATTATAAATTCACTATATTCTGTTATATTGAAGATGTATTATGTTTTACCTAGAGTACAGGTTAATTGTGCTTTTAGGAGCTGTTGTACAAATGACATAATTTTTAAGCAAAGTAATTCCTGAGAAAAACTAGTTGATGTATATAGGAAACTTTATTAGCTGCACAGTGCCTTGTTTTAGGCTATGGATTCTTTTATTTTTTAGGATTTATTTTTATTTATTTGAAAGGCAGAGTTAGAGAGGCAGAAGCAGAGAGAGAGGTCTTCCATCCATTGGTTCACTCTCCAGATGGAATGGCCTCTTTTAGACACTTACACAGATAAAATAGTTATATGGATTTGCTAATTTACAAATTTGATCATAATATTATTCTAAAGTGTAAATTAAGATTGTTGTATCACTGTATTGTCTTTCTTTAGATTCCAGCAACACATTATATATATACACCCCTGAATCAGCTTAAAGGTGGTACAATTGTCAATGTCTATGGTGTCGTGAAGTTCTTTAAGCCTCCATATCTAAGCAAAGGAACTGGTATGTATTACAATTGGTATAGTCTTTATGTACTAAAACTGCATTATTGGTTTTAAACACAGATCCTCTGTTTTCTAAGTCTTAGAAGCTCAGTTATGGTTTGTAACTATCAGACAACATGAAAGTATGTTTTGGGCCATTTTAATTTATAGAGTAAATATGGTATTAAGACTAAAGTCTAGTTTGACAGTAAGAATAAGTGAAAAGGATGCCAAACAACAATAAAAGATTCAGTGGTAAAGGTAAATACATAATTTTTTTTAAGGACCTATTTATTATTTATTTGAAAGTCAGAGTTACACAAAGAAGGAGAGGGAGGGAGGGGAGGAGGGAGGGGTCTTCCATTTGCTGCCTCATTCCCCAGTTGACTGCAACAGGCAGAGCTGCGCAGATTTGAAGCCAGGAGCCAAGAGCTTCTTCCAAGTCTTCCACGTGAATGCAGGGGCCCAAGGACCTGGGCCATCTTTTACTGCTTTCCCAGGCCACAGCAGGGAGCTGGATCAGAAGTGGAGCAGCCGGGACTTGAACCGGCGCCCATATGGGATGCGGGCACTGCAGGCGGCAGCTCTACCTGCTGTGCCACATTGCTGGCTTCCGTAAATAAACACAGAATACTGTAATAAAATGGTGGTACATAATCACTTTTAATTTTGTTGTATACATTGAAAGGCAATGTAGAACAAATAGAAATATGCTAATGGATATATAATTAAAAAGATAAAAGTTGTGACTTCAGTAATTATGGTGGTAGAAGTAAAAGTGTAGAATTTTTGTATTTGAAGTTCACTTGTCATCAGCATAAAATAAGTTGTTAGGACTAAAAGATGTTTTATGTAAACTACTTGATAATCAAAAAGAAAATAGTGCTATAAAATATACAAAAGAAGATAGAATGAAAATAGAAACATAAAACAGTTAGAAAACAGTTAGCAAATTGACAGTGTCTTTCCTGATCAGTAGTTAATTATAATTAGATTAAGTCTCCCAATCCAAAGCTACAGAATAGGTAAGAAGATTTAAAAAAAAAAATAAAAGACCAACTTTAGATTTAAGGACACATGTAGGCTAGAAGTGAAAGAATAAAGAATGTTTTCTACACAGATGATATCCAAAAGAGGTAGGTGTATCTGTACTTGTTTTAGACAAATAGACTTTTAGATCAAAAACTGTCACCAGAGACCAAGGATGCTGTATAAATAATAAAAGGGTCAGTTCACCAGGAAAATGTTCCATTTGCATATATAGCCAACATCAACGCCTAATATATGAAGCAAACATTGTAGAACTGAACAGGGAGAAATAGCCTCACAATTATAGTAGATTTCAATATGCCACTTTAAATAATGGACCCAATCAGAAGATCATTAAAGAAACAAATTGAACATCACCATGGACCAAATGGGTGTAACAGACATATAAAGAATAGTCCACTGAACTGGAGCATAATATACATTCTTAAATGCACATGGAATATTCTCCAGGATATATTAGGTCACAAAATGAGTCAGCAAATCTAAGATTGAAATAATGCCAAGTATCTTTTTCCAATCACAATGGAGTAAAATTAGAAATCAGTGGCAGGAATAGAAATTGGAAAATGCACAAATATGTACACATTAAGCAGTAACGTTTTGAAGAAACACTGAGTCAAAGAAGAAATTCGAGAATATCTTGAAATAATCAAAAATGGAAAGAACATAGTGGAACCAATGCCGAAAAAACAGTCCTGAGAAGGAGCTTGACAGCAAATGTCTACATTAAAAAAGAACAAGCCAAATAAGCAACCTAAATTTACACCTCCAGTAACTGAAAAGTGAACAAACTAATAGCAAAATGAGCATCAAAAGGAAGGAAAAAGATCAGAGCAGAAATAGGGAATGAATGAATCGGTCAAAAACAAAACTAAGTTTTTTTTTTTTTTTTTTAATTGAACTATCTTGATAAGCTTTTATCTACACTATGAAAAAAAAAAGACTCAGAATCAGAAATGAAAGAGAGTCTATGGTCATACCACCCCAAATGTGCACAATCTCATCTGATCTTAGAAGAAATGAAAGAACAGACAGTCCAACTGATAACACAAAGGATCATAAGAGACTACTATAAAAAATTATATGTAAAGCAAATAGGATAATCTAGAAGAAATAAATGATATTCTATAAGCTTGTAACTTACCAATAGCAAATCATAAGAAAATTGAAAATTCGACAGCTTATAACTAGTAAGGAGATTGAACCTGAAATAAAACAGCCTCCTCCCCACAAAAAAGTCCAGGACTGGATGACTTTACTGGTGAATTCTGCCAAATATTTAAAAAACAATTAATGTCAGTCCTTCTCAAACTGTTCCAAAAACACTGGAAAGGAGGGAACATTTCCAAACTCGTATCTTGAGTCTAGCATTACCCTATAGCAAAATGAAAGATTACAAAAATAGAAGATGTGGTCCAGTATTGCCAATGAACATAGATGCAGAAATTCTCAACAAAGTAGTTGTAAATTAAATTCAGCAGAATTAAAGGATCATATACCTTGGCCAAAGAGATGTCAGCCTGCAAGGATAATTCACAGAATGAGGATAGAAACTGCATGATCCTCTCAATTGACACATAAAACAGTTGACAAAATTCAACACTTTTTATGATAAAAACACTCAATCTAGAAATAAAATTTAATAAAGGTGACATGAAAAGCCCACAGCCAACATACTGATGGAACAGTGAAATGCTGTCAGGATTCCCTCTAAGATCAGGAACAGAGCAAGGCTGCCCGTTTTCCTTACTTCTGGTCAGCATAATAGTAAAATTGCCAATATGAGCAGTTAGACAAGAAAATAAAGTAGAAAGGCATTCAGATTTGAAAGAAGTAAAATTGTGTTTTCAGAAGACATGATCTCTATAGAAGATGCTAAATATGCACATACACACACATCCTACCACACACAAAAGTGTTAAAGAACTAATGAACTAGTGATTGCAAGATTAATAGTTAATGTACAGAAATCATTTGTATTTCTGTATACACTAATAAAGAACAATTTGAAAAAAGAATGATGCAATCTCATTTACAATAGCATCAGGAACTATAAGATATTTAGTAATAAAATGAACCAAGGAAGTGAAAGACTTATGCAGTGAGAAGTAGGAAACATTGCTGAAAGAAATTCGAGACTATATAAGTAAATGAAATGACATCTCATGTTTACAGACTGGAAGACTTAAATATTAAATATTGCTGAAATCTCCATACCACTCATAAAGATATAGATTCAATGCAGTGTTCATCAGAATCCCAATGACATTTTTAATAGAAAATGAAAAATCTATATAGAAACACAAAGGACCCCAAATAGCCAAAACAGTCTCATTGAGGAACAGAGGATGTATAATAGGCAAAGTGGTTAGCTCCTGCAAACCGTAACAGAGTGATTGGATTCAAATACTGGCTTCACTCTCAATTGCAGCTTCCGTTAATGCTCACCTTGGCAGATAGGTAATTGTTTAAGTAGTTGGGTTTTGACCAACCTTCATTGAGTTTCTAGCTCCCAACTTTCCAAAGTTTCTATTCCAACCCTGGCTGTTGCAGGCCTTTGGTGAGCCGACTGGCCGATTTTGTGTGGGGGGGGGGGGGGGTGGAGAAAGAGACGCTCCCTCTAAAAATAGAACTATAAAAATCCTCCTGAGGATTCAAACGAGTTGAAGCTTGGATCTCATAGAGATACTTGTACTCTAATTTTCCTTGCCACAGCATTCACATTAGATAAGTTACAGAGGCAACCTAAATGTCCAATGAGGTATGCCTAGATAAAAAAAAAAATATGGTGTATACATACGTGGAATATCATTCATCTTTTAAAAAGAAATCTTGTCATTTCCAACAACATGGATGACCCCTGAAGGTAATGAACTGAGTGAAATAAGCCATTCACAGAAAGATACTAAGTGATTTCACCTATATGAAGTATAAAGTAGTCTAACTCATAGAAATAAAATGATGGTAGCTAGAGGTTAGAGAGAGGGAAGATGGAGAGCTGGCTGTTCAGTGGATATAAAGTTTCAATTATTTAAGAAAAGTTTCAGAGCTCTGTACATTGTGTATGAGGTTAACAATACTTATAGCGAACTCTTAAAATTTGAGAGAATAAAACTCATATTTTTACTCCATGCAACTCCCCCAAAAAAGATAGATGAAAGAATTAGAAGATTAAATTTAGACCTCCATATCAATTTATGTATATATATACATATATATATAATGCATGTTATATAAAATATGTCTATGTACTTACACACTTGGGTAGTTTTTAAGGTAGATGAAAAGATACACAGCCCATAAATTGTCAGATTATAACAAAAGACTTTTTAAACATACAATAGAGTGCACCATGAATTTTAGTTTATTGTGAACTAATAAGTAAACAGAAAGCATTTCACCTTGGTTTAATTCAGTGTAACTAAATTTAACATTGATTACAGCCAGCTGTTGTAAAAACTCCCATCATTTAAAAAGGCAATATTATTTTATAAAGAACTGAAAAATACTACTGATTGAACTATGTTTGATGTTTAATTTTGTAAGATGTTCCCATATTTCAGAGGTGTTAAAAATATGAAACCATGAATGCTGTTGATGAAATTCTGTCTTCACTGCATGCCAGGAGCTCTGTTCATGCTAGAACACAAAGATGTCACTGAATCATGATGAAATCATCTTATTTATAAAGATACACATATTATTGAGGAATGAGCTAGGAGTGTATACTTGAGTAGGTCAAGTAGGGAGATGTCTGTTTTCTTCCACAAGGTCATCTTAATATATGACATAAAACCATATTCTGTATAAATGACAATATGAGGACTTTTAAATAGAGATAATTTTGAAATACTCTGGACCAGTGTGAAGACTTCAAAGGTATGTTTTCTGAAAAATCTTTATGATTTCTCTTTTAGAGAAAAGGAAACATTAAACACTAAAGTTGAATCAGAAATTTTTGTTTATTAA